CTAAAGGCCGGTTTAGACGGTACGATTTTCGCCTACAACTATCGAATACAACACGCTCGCGCCATCGTACAACTCCCCTACGACAGACGCGAGCGTGTTGCAGGGTTTGAATGGGGGGGGGGGGGGGGGGGGGGTCCCCGCAGTATCAGTTAACAGCTAAATTTTATCAATTTTCTCAGTTATCAGTTAAATTTTTCGATTCTCAGTTAAGTCAAACATTAATGATTAATTCTTATGTTTAATAAATAAAAAACAACTGGTGAAGTCTATTTTAAAGTACTTTTTACCTCAAATTCACATGCGAAATATGTTTGTAAAAGGAAGACTTATTAATTTGTCTCCAATCACTTCCGGTAAGTTAATACTGCAATCCCTATTGATGTATTAAGGTGGAGCTGGGTCTTATTAGTTGTTTCAGCAGCGAGTTGTTTCGGATCTGAAAACAGTGCGAATACCATGGTCTTGAAGGCCTCTACGCAAAGTTTGGGATATACCATCTACATACCGCATTTTCACATGTATTTGGTTCCCTGGTGGTCAGGGAAAGCGCTTCAATTCACAGCTTCGGCTGCATCCCAGGGACTGACCGGGGACCGCATTCTTCCGTTTTGGGGACTGGGACAGAGTGAGCTCCTCGTGTGAGTTTACGTAGTCATAATGGATGAGACGAAGACGGTAAGATTTTGGGTTGTCCTTCACGAATTTGCAAGATGTGATCCTATTGGAGGGCACACATGTGTAGAACAATAGAAAGCAATGACCTTTCCCCAACCACGCCCCTAAACCTAACCAATCACAGGGGACGTTGCAAATTCGTGAAGACCAACCGAAGGTTTTCATCGCATCTAATAATTATGTTTTTCTAAGCCATCGTTCGGAAAAAGAAAAAGACAGACAAAAAGGGAAGCAAATAAGCTGGTACCACATGGAATAAATATTGATCACTTAAATCTATTTCTTTGTGGGCGAACACATTTCTGCTTGAAAAGATATGAAATATCCAGTTGACATTAAAATAAACTGCTCAAAAGATGAGGCGGGGACTTCACTTTTATTTTCTTCCCCGTGGGGCGGGGCTTTCATTACCTTTCACTGAGGGAAAAAGT